AAAGAAAATAAAGAGATAAAAGAAAATTAGAACTTTAATAAATAGCCAAGGAAATATAAGTTCAACGGTCAAACCTACAGGTATTTATAACCCGAGAGTTCTAAGTAAATAAATTAACTAATTCCTAAATAAAAAATAATGATATAATCAAACTAAAAATCCTAGCTAGATGTCTAATAAAATAACTAGTTCCTAAATAAATAATAATAATAAAATAATCAAACTAAAATTATAAATCTTAAAGGTTTATCACAAAAGATAAAAATAAATATTTAAGTCTTGTAGTTATGGTTGAATTCTGCTTCAACTTATGGATAACCTTGTGCTAGGTAAATTCCAATTAAATATTTAAGATAATTCTACTCATCTTCTAGAAGATGTTGATTGGGCCATCAAAATATGTTATTTTTAGGCTAATTAATCCAATGAAACTCCTATCCAAAATAAACCCAAAAAGAAACAAATAAGTAATATCCAAGAGATAAATGAGGAGTAAATAATAGTAAAAATATGTATCATCTACTTTTAATCAAACTAGGTTTATTACTTTCCCAATTTAATTATGTCACTTTGAATTCAAGTCAAACTTTAACAAATCTCTACCTTGGCACGAATTTTGAAAGTGCAAAAAATTCGAGATAAAACACTCAAATTCGATGAGGCATCAAAAATCAACAAAAATAATTTTTTACTTCAACGAACAAGTTCTCCACCTCTTTCACAACACCCCTCAAAGAGTTAATCTTCAGTAATGGATACCGACCACGTCCAAGCAATGCTCAAACTTGGTTGTAGGGAGCGATTTGTTCATCTTGTCCGCATGATTGTCACGAGTGCTAACTTTGCTTAAAACAATGTCACCTCAAGTAATTACATGACACAAAGTCATAATCGATATCAATATGTTTCATTCACTCATGAAACATTTGATATTTCTTTAAGAATATAATGCTCTGACTGTCACGAAACATCATACTGATTTGAACGTCCTCACTAAGTTTGCCAAAGAGTCCATTCAACCAGATTACTTCCTTACAAGCTTTAGTGATCGCCATGTACTTCATTTCAATAGTTGATAAGGTGGTCGTACTCTGCAAAGTAGCTTTCCAACTAATTACATATCCTCCAATCATAAAGACGTTACCCGTAAGTGATATTCTCTTATCAAGTTCTCCCACAAAATCATAATCTATGTACCCCATGACTCCATCTATAGTTTTCCTAAACTGTAAACAAATGTCACTAGTGCCACGAAGATATATGAAAATTCACTGGACAACTTTCTAATGCTCTTTTTTGGGATCCGTCGTGTATCTACTCACTAAATTGGTTGTGTACACTAAGTTTCAGATGTGTACAAACCATAACATACATTAAATATCCCACGCACTTGAATATAGAACATGTGACATGTACTGTACCTCTGTATTTGATTTTGGTGAACAATCTGATGAAAGTTTGAAGTGAGTTGCTAGCGGAATGCTTATAGGCTTCGCACTCCACATATTAAACCCACAAAAAACCTTTTAATGTACCCCTTTTGACTTAGGTACAATTTAGCTCATTTTCTGTCTTTTCTAATCTTCATTCTGAGTATTTTTTGTAGGAACTAGATTTTTCATCTCAAAATCCTTATTAACCTAAGTTTTCACATGTCTAATCTCTTCTTTATTATTCGCAGATATCAACATAAAGATGTACATATATAGGCAAGCCATCACAAATTATTCTAAAGTAAACATAACTGTCAAAATTACTTCGCTTAAATTTAAGAGAAACCATAAAAGAGTCAAATCTCTTATTCCATTATTTGGGTGACTGCTTAAGTCCATAAAGAGATTTCTTCAGCGAACAGACATGGTCTTATTTTCCTGAGACCATGAAACCCTCCAACTGCTGCATATAAATATCTTATTCAAGTTTACCATGCAAGAATATAGTTTTCACGTCTAGTTGCACAAGCTCTAAGTCTCTCATACCTACTATTCAAAGCAAAGCTCTAATCAAACTATGTTTTTTCACCAGAGAAAACACATCATTAAAGTCAATACCAAGGAATTGACTGAACCCATTTGTAATTAGCATTCCCTTGTATTTGAGTTCTTCAAATATCCCGGAATTCCTTTATTCTTTTTGTACACCCACTTACACTGAATGAATCACTTTCCTCTAGGAAGTTTCACTAAATTCCAAGTGTCATTTTTATGAAGTGGCTCTATTTCCTCTTGTATTACGATCATTTACTTGTCTGAGTCTTCGCAACTAACTACCTCTAAATAAGATGATGGTTCTTGGTTTACATTAATGTCTTCACAACACTCAAAGCGTATGCAACTAGATCAACCTCTACGTACCTTTACGGATGCCTAGTTTCCCTTTTGGGTCTATTCTGTATAGTAGAAGACAAAAAATCAGATTGTTGTGGAGGAGTTATATTCTCTATGGACGTGTCAAATACGGACCCTATTTCAAACTAAAACTCTACCTCATTCTGTGTGGACTCTGGTTCCTACAAATCCTTGGTAGTTTCATTGAGGGGTGATCATCGCAAAAGGGATGGGTTGCAGAGGAGCAGAGTCCTCTCATATATATTACGTATTGACAACTTTCTATCTATCATACTTCAAGCTGTCCACTTATGATGGAACTAGAGATTCCATGTAGTATCAGTATAACACTCTTAATCTGATTTAATCGAAAATCAGATCAACGATACTATATTAATTTATCCAATTCGATAATAATATCTTAATAGCCATAATTTGATTATTGATGATTAAATTATGATTTCAAAAAAGTTATTAAATATTAATAATTAACAGTCTACTTAGATGGAATCAAAAGGGACATAAAAAATTTAAGGCTAGATTTCACACTATAATCATCGTAGTCCACTAGTCTATGATTTGTCAACTCTTTGCTAAAAAACAAGGCTTAATATCTAAATAATTGTTTAAACTATACATTTTTTTTCTTGAATAAGTGCATATAGTATTTTTTTAACCATCTAAGTGAATAACGTTACAAACGTGACTACTTTACATGCCCGAAACGTATCGATCGTTAATTTTTTTCGTTAAATGACACGTGTTATAATCCGATAATTTTAAATTATTTTTAAAAAAAGAATATTTAAAATATTATAATATTTATAAAAAATCTTAATTTCTTTTAAATTACAAAAAAACCTCAAAATATCTAAAATCCTAAATCCTACCACTAAACCGTCGTCGTCGTCCTTTCTGACCATGACCATAGCTGCCGACGTAGTTTTTGTCATCATCCTAATTATATGACGCTGTAGTTGTTGTCGATTGGCCGTTGGAGTCGCGTGAGATCGTGATTTTCATCCTATGGTTCACGAGGTATAAAATGTCGATTCACTGTCGACCGATCACAATTTCATAGGGTTTTGGTCGTCAAGGGGAGGAGAGGTATGGTGGAGATTCGTTGACGACAAATGGAGGCGATCGACGTAGGTTTAGGGGTTGAAGTGAAGGTTTTTAAAGTTTTGGGGTTATTTTAAAATTTATGTGTTTTCTTTTTTAAAAAAATATATAATTTATTTTTTAAATTTTATATAAAAATTTAAAATTACCGGTGCCGTTGACAGCTCGGGCACCTAAAGTGGTAATGTTTGTAACATTAGGCATTTGATGGGCCAAAAAATACTATAGGAACCTATTCGGGAAAAAAGTATAGTTTGGGCACTTATTTGGGTATTAAGCCATACAAAATTTTAGGGTAAACTATACCATTGACCACTAAACTATGTAACCCTTTTACTTTTACCACTAATTTTTCAATTTTGTTAATAAGTCCACCTAACTATCAATTGTTATTAATCAAGCCACTTTCCGTTAACAGTTAATGGATAAGGAGACGTGGCAATTAAATATTTTGACATAATTACATATTTGGTCTTTATTATTTATATATTTTATTAATTTAGTCATATATTTAACAAATTAAAATAAATTTAACACTCGAATCAAATGGTGCCACATGTCACCATTTGATTAGAGGGTTAAATTAAATTAATTTATTTTAAATTGATATATTTATTTACCTCCAACCAAAGCGCGACATGTAACACCCTCTAGATGAAAGAAAACAAATCATGCATAATTCTGGGTAATAAGATGACGTGAAGTTGTTGAACCATTGAGCCAAGACCAATATTTGGTTTAAACAGACAATATGTTGTATATATTTGTATTGTAATGTATAAATAACTAACTTAAATTTCATAATATTTTATATTCTCAACTTTAAAAAAAAAATTCTATCTTAAATTATTAAATATATTTTATTCTAAATTTAATTTTTAAAAATATATTTTATTTTTATTATAACTTAAAATACATTTTATTTTTATCTTAAATTTTAAAAATATATTTTATTTTATTTTAATTTCAATATATTCCAAATATATATTTTATTCTTACATTAACTTATTAAATATATTTTGTTCTTACTTTAACTTATTAAATATATATTAAAAATATTTTTAAATTAAGATAAAAAAAATATAGTTTTTTCAAGTTAAGATTAAAATAAAATATATATTTTTATATTAAGATAAGAATAAAATATATAATTTTAAGTTAAAATAAGAATAAGATATATATTTTTAAGTTAATATAAGAATAAAGTATATTGTTTAAGCTAAAATAAGATTAAAACATTTTTTAAGTTAATATATAAATAAATATTTAATAATTTAAAGTAAGAATACAATACATTTTTTAAAGTTAAAATGATAATAAAAATATATTTTAAAAGTTAAGATGAGATAAAATATATTTTTAAGTTAGACAAGAATAAAAAATATGTTTTTAAATAAAAATAAGAATAAAATATATAATTTTAATTTAATTTGATAATAAAATATATGTAATAAATTAAGATAAAAATAAAATATATTTTTTAAAGTTAAAGATACATAAATTATTCTGTTAAAAAAATTCATAAATTATTATAAAATCAGGTTAATTATTTATACGAAATGATATACAGTATATACAACATGTTATATATTTTAACTGAATGTTGGTGTTGGCTCAGTGGTTCAGGGTTTACTTGCCTTCCCAATCAACCTCTGATTGATTCCCATTGACCTCAGCCATGTGTGATTCAAACAAAAAAGTAGGGAGAAACAAAAGAAGAATAAAGGAAAAAGAAACAGAAAAAGGGAAAACAGCAATTGACAACCGGTGGAAGAAGCAGAGTTGTCGTTGATTTGTTTAAGGGCCTTGAAGCTGATCCTCTCTCAGTACCAGATTATAAATATATAGAGAACAACCGGAAAGCGGCAGTGAGTTGAGCGGCTCGGCTAAATCTTCGTTTTCTGCGGGTCTTGAAATTTGGAACGTGAGGCGGAGCTGTGTCCACATGCTCTGCTGCATTATGATCTTTAATTGTTCCTGACTTATTTCTTCCACCGACCGCAGCCGCTCCATACGCCGGCGAACAGTTCTCGACTTCCTTCTCTGCGTAAGTAAAATTCCATGTTAAAAAAATATATTCATTTCGATTTTTCAATTCTTGTATCGATGATATAGATACTGTAGACACTCGTTTTTGACCGGACTTAAAAAATAATATAAATATTAATTATATTATTATTATTATTAATATAAATTACATTATTTATGTAGGCCTAAAGTTCAAGCCCTCTACAACAAAAGAATTCCAGGAGCTCAATGCAAGCCCAATAAAAATCCAACAGCCTAAATATAAAGTTTAAGCACAAGAGGTGTTCCCATCCATGCAGCAACCAATCACGCCAATATCTCAAGCCATCGCCACTGTTAGCTAATCTGCACAAAGTCAACAATACACCGAATCAAGGAAAAATTAATTAGCCACCGAAAATTGCATCAAAGTCAATACTTGCTCAACCAAATATCACCAAACGCAGAGAAAATCAACATGCACACAAAGTATTAGGTGAAGAAAATATTGATAAAAAAAAAGGAGGTACACGAGATAAAGGAGGAGGCCATTCGAAGGAAAAGGGGGGACAGAAAAGAGGGAGCATTACATTCGAAAGGAAATTCATCAACAACAGGGGAACCATTCGAAAAAAAGGCTCTCGGATTTCAACAGGAAAGCAAAGAACAAGGAGGTTTTTTCTTTACCCTTCGAAAAACTTAAATTTCGGGTTTCCATCCCCAATTTGGTATTCATAAGCAATGTAACCAACTGTAATTCCAAGATATAAAAGAAATCAATTTTTTTACGAGACCATTCGAAGTAAATTATTAATCATCCACAAGAGTAATAACAGTTTTTTTTGAGATACATATTCATTTGGAATGCATTATCGATTTCCAGTGTATGCATTTTTTTAATAAGCGTAATAAATGAATTTTTTTTAAAACATAAAAATAGAGTTAAAAGAACTTACATATAGGTTGGTTTCTCTTTGTCTGGGTAGTTCGCGTCTCCGGTAATAGGTCGACTCCTTTTGTCGCTTGGAACCTTGCATGTCGTTTATTGGGTTAAGCTCTCATCGGTTGGGATTTTAAAATAAAAAACGGAAATAGATAAGGTTTAAGTTCTTACCTTAGTATTGCAAGCTCTCATGGTCGGGGTGGAGGTCCTCGTGGTTGAGAGGATAAGTGGATGGATAGTTAAGTCCCAAACAATGTGTCTTGAGTAAATTTTAAGAAGTCTCGGTCTGGAAGGATGAAAGACGACTGTATTAGGTTTTGGCCCCTTACCGGAGCCCTTATCTGGCCGTGGTCGGTCTGGCGGCGTTGAATCGAGCCTTTGTGGCTCTCGGTCGAAGCAAGAGAGAAGTGGAGAGGAAGAGAACAACGCAGAAAAGGGGAAATTGTTAGGTTTGGCAGAGTGTGGTTTTGTTAAATATTAGGTTTCAGTTAATCCATCAAAACGGCGGCGTTTTGTGTTAAGGTGATTTGTCTCTAGCAGAATTGAGGGTAAACTGTGAGACCACTCCAAGTAGTTTTGATTTGATACATTTTAGTCCTCAGACTATTTTTTTGTTTTTTATTGTGCCTTTACATTTAACACATCTTTCATTCTGGTCCCTCGTTAAATTGTTCTGAATTTTATGTTACTTTTTTTTATTTATTATTTAGCCTGTAATTTTGTTAATTGCCATTTTAGTCATGTTTTACATATTATGTTATTTTTTGTCAATATTTAATTTTGGTTATGACATTTGTAAATTAATTATTTTAGTAATATTCTTTCGTTATTTTAACTTCTTCATGCATTTATATATATATATATATATATATATATTACATTCACATGTTTGCCCTTTAATTTATTTATATTTTTGGATTTATTTTACAGTTCACAACGCATTTAATTTGAATTTAAATTTGATTGATTTGAATGTAAATTACTTGATTGTTTCCTGCTTTTGTTTAGCGGTAATTATTGATGTTGATTTAATAGTCTCGGGTTTTTACCTTAATTTTAAGACGATAATGCATTGGAATAGCATGTTACTGTTTGTTTACCTTAACCTTTACTTTATTCCATTTATTTACACATGATGTATGTTAATTAATGCTATAGGGATAAAGATTAGTAATAAATATAATTTTAGTTGTGTTAGGTATTAGTGTTTTTATATTTATAATTATATTTAACTTATTTGACAACCTACTTTGGACTTTATAATATTTTTATATATAATAATGCAAGCTTATATATATATATATATATATTAATTGAATGTTAGTTATTAGTATTTGACTTTTATTATATTGTTGTTTGTTTATAAAATTGGATTATTTGACATTATACAAGTGTGTAGTCGGTGCATATAGGTTTATGATTAAATTTGAATTAATTTGCATGTTAACTTCATGTGTAACTTAACCTAATTATATAATTAGATTAAAGGTAATACCTTTTTAATTTAAAATGATTTTAAGAGGGTTGTCTTAACTGATTAAATATCCATTTTTGACAATTTTAAATTAAAAGTGTATCCCATTAATGACACCTAAAAATTGATTCATCACTTTAAAATTTAGGAACGAAAGAAAATGAAATATTCGGTTATTTAATTTTTTTGAGAAAAGATAGTTAGAACTTATCTAAGATATTGTCTCGATATTTTTAAATTATCGAATATTCTTTATCTTTATAAAGGTTAGATAATTTTAATTTAATCTATTTTGGTGTTTTTAAATATTGTAAAACTCGTATGTTGTTGTTTTGTTGGGGATCATAAATCAAATTAAAATTGAATTTATAAATTTCATTGCAAAGACGTTAATTAATCAACTAGGTACCGATTTATGGCGTTGTGGGGTGTTAATTTTTCCCTACGCGTAATCGACTCCCGAACTCATTTTCTAGTAACGCAGACCTTAATTTGTTGTTTTAATTAAAATAAATTTTTATTTAAAATGATAATATTTTTGGGTGCCCAATTACACTTTAATCAAGGATTGGTGGTGACTCCTCAAATCGTATTTATTTAAGAAATCCCAAATTTTTCGAAACAAGAGGTTTTTTAAAATTGTATTGATTTTTAAAAAAAAATTACAAAAATAAATTTAAAATGACGTGATTTTCAAAATCTCTAACTTAAGAAAAAGATGATTTCGATAGATTATATATATATATATATATATATATATATATATATATATATATATATATATATATATATTAACAATCTTGATATCATATCGTAATAGATGTATACCGCCAGCCGCTTCATACGCCGGCGAAACCGGAGAGCGACAGTGAGTTGAGCGCCTTGGTTGAAGTCTTGGTTTTCTGTCTTTTAAAATTTGGAAACTGAGGCGGACCTGGGTGCTCTTGCTCTGCTGCGTTGTGATGTTAGTCTCCCTTGGAAGCTGCTCGCGTTCCATTTCGGCGGCTTTAATTTTTTCTCTCACTTGCCTTTGTCTTTCTCTGATCTTTCGTTGTTCATGTCTTATTTCTTCCATATACGATCGCAGTCGCTTCGTACGCCCACGAAGGGTTCCCGACTTCCCTCTCTGCGTAAGTAAAATTCCATGTTAAAAAAAAATATAATCATTTCAACTCTCGTAAGTAAAATTTTCTCTCACCGCTATTCGATTTTTGCTGAAGCTATTCTTCGTAAGATCAATTGTTGTTGCTGGATGTGAAGCTGATCACCCTCTTCCTCCCCTTTATTTATAAACCCCAATTACATTCGGTTATAGAGCAGATCAATCGCTTTCTTGCTCATCGCGCGCCTATCGAACGAAATCAACAACTCTTATTTCTATTGGCCCATTTGATTATCAAAAGGTAAAGCTAAAAATATATTAAAATATTGAAAATAAAAAATAAATAAGAATTCAAGGGACGCAAAGAACAAAGAGAGAGAAAAAAAACTCCAATCGAATTTTAAAAAAAAATAAATTCATTCTATTTAATGTTGTAGATTAATATTAAATTAATGTTACAATTTAACTGATTATCAACCCAAATAGAAAATAATAAAAATATTTTTATTTTCCATACTTTTATAAAATAATTAAAAAATTATTATTTAAGAATCAAACATAAAATTAATAAATTTTATATATTTTTATTTTAGTTATAATAATATATTGGTTTGTCCTTTTAAATATATACTTTTACTTAAAATATTTTTTTAATTTTTAAAATATATTTTCAGAGTTGCTAATTAAAGTTTGATGTCATTAAATTAAAAATATATATAATTAAGATATAAATTAAAAAAAATTAATTTATAAGATAATGTTAATAATTTATTTTTTATACTAATTGATTTAAAAATAAATATGTTTAAACACTAATTTAAAAAAATTGATTCTTATTGTCTTTTGAATTTTGAAAAAAAAAAATCACTAATTTTATTCAAAATATGAAATATTCTAAATTACAATAAAAATTTACGATCATAATAGTAAATTAAACACATAATTAGGACAATTTCTTATAACAATTGAAACAAAACTAGCAACTAAAGATCATAAGGACTATACAAATAAAGATTAAAATCTAACCCAGATTACTCGAACAAAGATAGATACAAACAAATCTGATCGCATCTGCAAACGAACCACAAAAGAGGATCAAGCTACTGAAAGACTATCGATAGACCACAAATCAAACTTGAGCGACGTAAAAAGTTATCCACGAATGCATAACGGATATCCAAATCCAATACGAGAGTAAATAGTCTAAAAGCCACCCCACATGCTAAGATTTTTTATAGTGTGGGTTAGTTGAAGTGGGGGAGTCCAATTTTCCAGTCCACTCACAAACAATTCTTTTTCCTTTATGAAAATTGATTTTGATTATCTTTTGACTTTTTATTTAATCATTTTAAAAGAATTTTGTGTACTTTTGGAACCTATTGATAAACAAATAAACACGATCGAAAAAATAAATAAAGAATACTAAGATTTACGTGAAAGATCCAAAAGGAAAAAACTTACGGACAGACAATAATAATTTCACTAATATGAAGAAAGAAAATATAAAAAGATTTTGGAGAAAGAAATACTTTGTCGCACCCCACTTTTTTTTAAATTAAAAATTAATTTAGTTAATTTAGGGACTAAATTGGAAGTTTTTTAAGCTTGAAGCTCAGTTTAGAATATGTAGGAAGTTCATAGACATAACCCTGAATTTTCCCCTTTTTGGTTGGTAGAGATAAAAAAATATGAAAGTGTGGCTAAGGGGTTTCGAACCCCTGTTCATCAACATAGTTGGCCATCATCATACCATTTAGGCTAGGTCACTATTAGTGATATTTTTAATTAAATATATGTTGTAATTTCTTAATGCTCGGGCAACCCAAAGCCAACCTCCATTTCTGAATAAAAAACACCCAAATCCCCAAATTTCCCCAACCTAAAATCCCTAACCTCACTGCCGGCCCTCACCAATTCACCACCGCCCGATCGTCGTAGCATACATCGCTTCTAGCATCCAGCTCGCCACTGTCCGACGACCAAAACCCCCTTAGATTCAAACTGTGCATCATCGTCGTTTGTCGTTAATTGACGTTTGACTGATCATGGAGAACCCTTGTAACCGCACAATTTTTTTTCATTTTTTTGTTGATTCCGCTGACGTTGTAGCACACCACCACTCTTTTTAGCTCCATCGGCGTCGTGCGAAAAAAACTCAGGCGATAAACACATTCTGTTGTTGTACCTCCGTCGCTTACCGTTGGGGGTACACGAGACTCTCCCGATCGTTTAACAGCTCGACCCAGATCCTCCCTATCCGTTCGACCTTGTGAGTCAGTGATTACTCATTCGAGCACTGTTGTAGAGCGTGGCGAGGAAGGTGCTCAGTAAGCCCCTTGACTGACCCCATTTTTACGAGGTGTGTTCCCGGTGTGCTATATGATTGTTTTTATATGACTGTTCTACCTGTTTTGAATTGTGAATGAATTATCTGATTTTAATCTTGATTTATGATTCATGTTTTACTAATTATAAATATGTTTTCATGATACATGTTCTCTGGTTGTTTTACTAAGAAATAATTATGTCTAAATTAAAAATTTATTGTCTTTACTGATACTTTATGTGTTATTTTATTGGATACTTTTAGGATGTTACCTGGAGTCTCTGAGGTGCAGCTCTGATCAAGCTGGTAAATCCTTATGGACCTAATGCAACCCTTGAGTGGGCACCTAGACCTACTGGGCCTAGGGTAAGACCTTATGGACCTTAAGGTACTTCCTTATGGTGGCTCATCTACTTTGTGCATTGGGTAAGACCTTATGGCCTGGGGGTACTACCCCCAGGTGAGATCTTATGCTTTGGCTAGGATGAGACCTTATGGCCCAAGGTGTTCCCTTAGGTTGGCTCCTATA